CATTTAAAAAACAAACCTGTTTCATTGATATATATACAAAAAATGAATATTAGGAACTATATTTATCGAACATTATACTGGGCAAGTAAAAATAGTTTCTGGGCAAATGAAATGTGAAAGTCATTTGCCGTTAAATCCTTAACGTCAACCCCTGTAAAGTAATGGGGATTTTATCTATATGAGGATTCAGAGGCATCTGATGATAAAACCATGCAGGCAGATTAAAGATGCTACAAATAGAAAAGCAAAGTGGAAAAGTTGCTTCAATAAGCTAAATAATACTGCTTGTGTTTGTTTTTTTGTCACTAGTGAAGCCAATCAGAAACCTGAACGGTCATTCTATCGGTCAGTACAGAATACATGCAGGGAAGACGGTGCCCATCGTTAAGGGAGGGGAAGCAACAAGGATGGAGGTGGGTCGTGTTTACTGACTGCAAAGAACCAGTCGAAATGTCCTCCGACTCACGACTGAATTGCGATTTCCATCTGTGCTGGTCCCGTTTAGGAGGGAGAGGTTTACGCCATTGAGACGTTCGGCAGCACAGGTAAAGGCGTGGTCCACGACGACATGGAGTGCTCGCACTACATGAAGAACTTTGACGTCGGCCATGTCCCCATCAGGTGAGGCTGCTTTCACCTTACAGCTCCTAGCCAGCGAATGTTATTGATTTTCATGAGTCCGATACAAGCATGAGGGACGTTTATTTAGTTTGTCATCCAAACTTGAACCTATTTCTTTGGCCTTTTATGGGATTGCTAAATACAAAGTGCATAACTTTTATCATTGTCCTGGACTTTATGAACCTGTTTGTTCTCAGCCTCATAGAGAACATTCCAAGGTTGAATTTCGCAACTAATAACTAATGTGGTAACCTATGAAAGCATTTAGTTTTTCTTCTGTTTAGCCGTATCAAAGGAATTGAATAAGAATGGTTGCAGCCTTGGGTTGGTTTATCAAATAAAATCCCAATAAACATCTAGATTTGTTGATATAAGTGACAAAAGGTAAACACTTTGATCAGGCACTGTATGTATTTATTCGTTTATTTGATACAACATTTTAGCTAAGGCTAATTCTCAATGCCTGTCCCCAGTTAGGCTTTGTACTGTACTTATCGCATCCTTCCTTCCAGGCTGCCCCGAGCAAAGCACCTGCTCAATGTCATCAACGAGAACTTTGGCACGCTAGCGTTCTGCCGCCGCTGGCTGGACCGTCTGGGCGAGAGCAAGTACCTGATGGCCCTGAAGAACCTGTGCGACCTGGGCATCGTGGACCCCTACCCTCCCCTGTGCGACACCAAGGGCTGCTACACGGCTCAGTTTGAGCACACCATCCTGCTCAGGCCCACCTGTAAGGAGGTGGTAAGCCGCGGAGACGACTACTGACACCCCGACCGCCCGACTCCCCTCACCACGCACACCTCCAGACACTGATAGAGTAACAGAAAAAGCAAAGACATGTAATTGTAGTCAACCTACAATACACCCCTCAGCTTCCCAGGAAGGATGCAGACAAAAACTATCCAACACGGGTTCTTTGGATTTACTACCAGAAAATCTTGAGCAGTTTAATGTTTTCAAACTGCCAATGAACTCATTGCAACCACAGTATTCAGAATCTATTCAGTTTCAAGGACTCCAGTCTGAGATGTCACTACCTTTAGTTCATTTATCGAGCCTTTCAATGGGTTTAGGAAGTGTTCAGCTCAATGCATGCTGGGAAATCAGCTCATACAGACTTTACAGCACATTTAAGCTCCGGGGGTGCCGTAGTCAATAGATACCATCTTCATACAGACACAGCGCACCTGTGTCTTCTGTCGCCAAAGGAGAGAAATCTGCACTCTGGCCCTCTGGTCTTGGTTTCCTTAACGTTTGTAAGAGTTTGTTAAAATGGCCGCTGCATCTGTATGCTCCCGGTGAAAACGCTTCATTTGGAAACTCTGCTTGGAAATGTTTTTGGAAGAAAAAAGGATGATTAAAATAATTTTTGCTTGTTGTCTAACTGCAAAATGTTTTTTTTTTTTTTACATTATTCTTTTCCTGTAAATCCAGGCTTATTTGAATATTCTGTTCCCTTTTATTCACATCACAGCCTTATAGTGATGCCATTTGTAAAGATTTACTTTATTTCTTTACAATAAATACGGCTCAAATATTGAGTGTTTACTTAAAAAAAAAAAATTAGTCATGTTTCTGAATAGGGGGTCGCCTAGTGGCCACAAACGCTGCAGCACTGTCACAAAAGTCAACAGTCAGCCTGCCAACCATCCTGTGTCATCATTATTATTTGTAGAAGGCTTTAAAACAGCTACAGCTGAAAACAAAGTTCTGAACCTGGCTAAAAATAATAAAACACATAAAAGTAAAGCATAAACATATAAAATAAGACAATAATATGAATTTGTTTAAGCTAAATAAACAAGGTCACAACAGCTAAGTCCTGCCAGTGTTTTACAATTCAGCAGAAGCAGCCTCCTTAATGTGCAGTGGGAGGTTATTTCATAAATGAGAGAAGCAGCGTTAGAGAATGCTTTGGCCCGTCTGAGCTTCCTCTTAAACTGCAGAACCTACAGTTTAAGAGGAAGGTATCTAGGTTCAGCTTGGAAGGCATGAGAAACGCCGCTGATCTCTGGATAGCATCGCCTAGGCC